AACGGAAATCCCGTTCCTGGCGCCGGCAACCCCCATCAAGGCGCCATTGTGAGCACGCCTGACGGTGCTTGGCACTACATTGCCCATCTCGAAGCATATCCCGGCGGGCGTATTCCAGTTCTTGCTCCCATCTACTGGGACGAGGAGGGCTGGCCCCATGTTGAGTTCGTTGACAATCAATGGGCGTCCACCTACCCGCTTCCTCTACCTGAGCGTCCAGTCAAGCCCATCACCGGCACCGAACCTTTCAATCATTGGGAGAACCTCACCAGCAAGTCAATAACGGCATTCTTCACTTTTTGGGGTATCGATACGGAGTTTTCAACTACGCTACACTCGCTCGGAACGGGGCTGTCACGGTCAAGTCCTCCGGTATTCATGAGTAACACATGGTGGAATCCTCTTTCCTGGCGGAACATTTCAGGATGCATAACTCTGCACACTAGGATTCTTTGGCACTTGGCTGTTCAGTCACTCTTGTTTCTCTTCTACAGCTGGATAGTTTTTTTATTGACTTCTTCGATTATGTTACAAACCAATACTTCCTTCCCCCCTACGATAACTTAAGAGAAGTTTACAACCACCATTCGTAGTTCTTTAATTCAGGTGAAGTGCGTGTCAAAACATCCAGATTGAACTACGCAATGACCCAATGACGGGGAAAGTATGTCACTGGCCAAAGGCAGAAGCTACACAATCACAGTTGAAAGTCTTCCTCACATTGGTATTGCCCTTGCCATAAATATGCTCTGGCACTTCCAGCACTCAATTCCCTCGTCGTATATCACAGAACCGATTGAAGGATTTAAAGATCATAAGTGGGAATCAAGTTACAATCAAGATGTAGACACGAGAGCTGGAATCAGCAAGCTGTGCGTATTGCTGTCTGCCTTCGGGTTCTGTCCAAGATAGGAAATTTCTCACCAACGTTCAACGTCATTGCTTGGCGGCCGACACTCCCCGATGTTCACGCGACCCACCGGATATAAGAATGTGCTTCAGAAACAGTTCACTGGACTTCTATATCGATGCTGTCTGCACCTCGTTCAGGTCTGGATCTTTCTCCTTCGAATCATTTGATCGTCAGCACAAGTCTTTTTCGCTGAGATTCAGTTGATGACGAATTTCAGCAAATACCGCTCATAAAGCATTGCAAACCCTCAATATGCCCGTAGGCATGGCTATTCAGAGTCCAGAGTGTTACGTTCTGGCACAGACGAAGTTCTGTCCAAATAATGACCTGCCCTACCTAGTTTACCGAAATGTTCTACCGCCTGATGTCACCGAACAAATTGCTTCGGAACTTTTGACCAAGCATGGAGGATGGGAACGATTTGTAAGGTCTTCCGAGTACAAGGAATGGTGGTTTAGTGACTAACACACTGCACTCTCTAGGGCCCGGTCTGGGGTCCTGTGTCGAAAAGACACTTTCATCCCAACGTACACGAGTGCTATGGTAAGTAGCATCTACCGTTGGTCCAGTCACTTACTGCACTCAAATGTGCCATTGACTACAAGTGCTAACAATAATTCGCCAGCAATTCTGAGTGGCACATCAACATTTCTGTTGGGGCTTGCCATGGGCGACAGCGAAGCAGACGTCGAAGCCGCCCCTGAGGCTGCTGTTTGCAATGGGGTTGACGTCAGGTCAAGTAGAGGTTTACGCCTTCGGGTTTCTGCTGGTGATGTCGTGGTACAGCCTGCAGGAACAGGCCACTCATGTCTGGATCATGATGGGAACTTCCGTTACATCTCGCTTTTTGTTTCGGTAATATGATGTCCGATCCTACACGTCAATTGCTTAGCTAACTGGATCGAAGGGAGCCCCACACTGGCGAAGTTCGATAGGAAACACTCCAGTTGATGAGGAAACCCGACAGGGAATCAGCCAGATTCCGCTACCTGAGTTTGATCCAGTGTATGGCAAAGACGGTGCTTTACAAAAGCTATGGGGGTCAGCATGATGAGGGTCTTTCTAAATTCCGGCATAGTCTGTGCAGCTTTCTTCCGTCGATTAATGGAATGCCTCTCTCCCAATTCCCTTCGTCGGTCATGCTGAAATGTGGTGGATTGAGGCGCCGTTCAGGCCTACCACGTACAATGTAGGGGGAGACGTTTAGCCAAGAAAATCCTCTTGGATAGTGTGCAGCCGAGGAAGAACTGCGCTGTACGATCCCGCACCGTTCATCTACCTGTCTTGCGGCCAGATGAACGTGACGCCAAGGCGGTAAGGATCAGTAAGACAGATCGACGTCGCTCCCAAGTCGCAAATTTCCGGCCGCTTATTCGAATCGGGATTACGGGGGATGATATGTTCTAACTCCGATTCGATGACCTGCGGGCGGACGGCTGATCGACCCGCCGTCCGCTTGCTGTTACATCAAGTCCGAGGAACTCCGAGAAAATGTCACGGACCGTTCCGGCGCCCTAGGGCGGACACCTCCGTCTCCCCCTACATTGAGCCGTACGCCCATGAACATATCCCGGAAAGCGGGAACAAAACTCTATAAACGCCGTGAGTCTCGGTACTTCGATTTCCGCTTTTGGAAATTTGAGACCTGTTGACGTTGACGATGTCCCTGTGGTGGGTCAAGCGCGCACGCTTCAAAGTCCGTAAATCAGTTGCGTACAAGATATCTGAAGATATAAAGCGACGTGACCGAAACATCTCATGTTATGACCAATGAAGTTTCTCGATTTAAATCAATAAATTATACGATTCCTTATCTTCAATATGACATTGGCGTCATACGTTCCGCTGGGCATCGGTGCCATCCCCCAAATCCTCATATCTGCCACTTGCTTGTGGCTACTTTTCCATCTCGGCCGCGGCATATATCAGGCCTACTTCTCGCCTCTACATCGGGTGCCGGGGCCCAAGCTTTGGGTCATCATACCGATCATTCCAAAGATTAAGATTCTGCTCGGGACAATTGACCAAGAACTTCGACAACTCCATTGCAAGTATGGCAACGCGGTTCGCTGGAGCCCAGACCACATCACCTTTACCACCAGTGAAGCCTGGAAAACCATCTATGGCCACAAACACGGACAATTTCCGAAGTACAACAGCTCGGAACAACTTGAGCCCCAATCTAACATTCTATTTGCCGACGACGCCAACCACGCCCGCATCCGCCGCGGAGTTTCGCACGCCTTTTCACCCAAAGCATTGGCCGAGCAAGAACCACTCATCTACGAATATGTAGACAAGTTGGTATGGAGGTTGTCAGATGTAGCGGAGTCTCGCATGCCAACTGAGATGGGCAGATGGTTCCATATCGCATCCTTCGACATCGTTGGGGACTTGACCTTCGGCGAGTCACTCGGCGGCCTTGACAACAACGAGCTCCACTATGTTGTAACGCATGTTCTATTATTCATTGAACGGGCGAAGAAGCTGTTTGAACTCAACCGCCTCCTCGGCCCCTTGCGGTGGATCGTGATGCCGATTATCGCGAGAGATGCCGAGAAGGGTTTCCGCGACATGTTTACCTACACACGGTCTGCGGTCCAGCGCAGAATCGACATCGATGGGGAGTTGGACCGCAGAGACTTCATGCAAGGCTTGCTCCGTGGGAAGGACGAGAAACTGATCAACTCCATGGAGGAGATCATCACCAATGCCAACACCATTTTTGTGGCTGGTAGCGATACTACAGCAACGCTCATGACAGCTGCTACCTTCTACCTTCTTTCAACCCCTGAAGCTTACAAGAGAGCTGTCACTGAGGTGCGGAGCGCATTTCAATCGGCCGCGGAGATCAACTTCACCAACGCAACCGCACGCCTGCCCTACTTGCTTGCTGTGCTCAATGAGACATTCCGGTTGTATCCTCCTGTCCCGTCAGTGAACGAAAGAATGGTTCCTGATACAGGAGAGAGAATCTATGTGGAAGACTACTATCTTCCTCCCCATGTAAGTCATTCGCTCGAAGACGTTTACGTTTATGAACAGATCTAACAAGATTATCAATGGATGCATAGACCTGTGTTGGTGTGCACCATTCATCTGCCGGTCTATCCGAGTCAAACTTCGCTCAGCCGGAGTCTTTCATTCCAGAAAGATGGCTTCCCGAGGTTGCTCAAGATCCTGCCTCTCCATTCCACGCAGACAAGCGAGACGCAATCCAACCATTTTCCTACGGTCCTCGCAACTGTGTGGGCAAACATCTGGCGTACAACGAGATGCGAGTCATCATGGCTAGGTTGCTTTGGGAATTCGACATGACCCTTGACAAATCGTCTCTGAAGTGGACAACGCCGTACTCAGAGCATAAGTCATGGACGATCTGGAAGAAGCCGACCTTGGTAGTTCATATCAAGAAGCGTCAATTTCAAACTTAACGTCATATAAGAGGCAGGCAAGAGATGGTCAATACATTGATCGCAAGGCCCTTGGGACTAGATGTCAGGTCTTTTCAAATTGGATTGAGAATTCTGTAGCAAAACTGTGATTAAACGAAACTGTCAACTCAACGCTTACTAAACCTTCGTTTTGTGAATCATTCTAATCGAGTATCTGGCAATCAGCCCTTACTTTGTGCCGCAAGCCCCGCTGGTCTCTACACGAAGACAGCCCCCAACTACGATGTGATAGACATCAGGTGCGTCAAGATTTTCTCGCGATCCATCTTCTGACATTCGTCTTCGGCCCCATCCACATTCCTAGCACACTGCTTGGCAAGGTCGAGGGCATTCAGTCCTGCGCTATTTCTAATTTGAGGATCGGCGCCCCAACTCAATAGGAGGCTAACAGCTCTGGAGACCCCCACATCAACTGCCTGATGCAATAGTGCTGGTCTAGTCCCATTCGCCGTGTCGTTGGGGTCAACCCCTGCGTTTAGAAGCATCTCCATTGCTTTGACGTTGTATCTCGTAAGAGGCTCCCGGTCTGTCCTGGTAAGGATGAGCCGAAGCAAGTTGCCGTCTGATCTCTGGATCTTGTCGAGCATACGCTTCTTATCGGACCCTAGTGCCTCAAGTATTATTCGGAGACACTTGTTGTGCTTCTTGGTGGCAAGCTTGACACAGTCCAAAATCGGTTGCTTGTAGAACGAAGTTGATTGCAGCCCTCGCTCAGTCACGAGAGACACGAGGGCTTCGACGAGGGTCGAGCTCGGACTTGGCTTTTTACAAGCCTTGGTCAAGGCAGTTTTGATAACTTCAGGGCCGGCAGTCCTGTGAGCTAGACTGATGGCCGAGCGCTTGCTGGCAATGTTCGAAGCCCTTCGAGAGGATGTTCTGTGCCGTCGTCGTTTATCTGCGGTGGATCGGCGTTGCGTAACTGGCGGGCCATGGTTTTGAGACACTTGGGTGGGCTCCCCAGGCTGCAGTGAAGGCGGCGGCGGTATATCCTTCCTGTGGCCTAGATTGACACACGGGAATAGGGGTTCCTCAGTCGGTAGTGCTGGTGCACTATTACCTTGAGACGAGGGAACTTGGTATTGAAATACGTCGAGCCTCTCTGGAATCAAGACAAACTTTTGCTGGAGCGGTTCGGAAGCTTCGGTGCATGTCGTGGCAAGAGTCTCTAAAGAGGTGTTGTTGCCCGTCGTGTCCCATACCCGAGATCCAGTGGAGGACTCTGCAGAAGGGGCTATGAAACTTGCTGAACCTTGGCCTAAGAGACGAAAGTCTTCGTCGTCTAGGTCAGATTCAGAAGTGGACTCATCGTCCGTACTTCCTTCAGATGCACTGTAGTATACTGTTGCATTGTCGGACATGGCTTGCGATGAAACGTTGAGGCGTTGTTCTTTGGTATTGTTGCTAGTCGCGTTGGTGCCTCCGCCCCGTGTATACCCATTAATACGCCTGAAGTGGTCCATTTCTAGGCTGTGGTGTCAATTCAAGAGATTCTTGACGAGGAAAGGATTTGGCGTTTTCTTGACAAACAATAATGTTTGAATAAAGCGATTGGTAGTCGAGGAGCCAGTCGGAGGGGCAAGGTGGATTTATCAAGACCCCGAGGTTTCGACTCGGAGGCCTATCCAAGGTGGCTCGGTGAAGAACGCGGCGTTACACCAATAATGTGCACGTTTTTCTTCCGCAGCCGGGGTGGCTATGGTGCAAAGGACGACAGAGTGGGTGTAAAGAGTTAACACCCCTTGAATCCTATAGCCTTGTGTGCTGTTGGCTTTTACTGAGGTGGCTGAAAGGGGTCAGCCGACTGGCCGGCTCCCTCCAATATCAGCTTCGCGACGACGCCAAGTCCAGCTGTAAGAGGGGCTTGGACCCCAAATTTTTACACTTTCACCTTCAACGTTGATGGTTGCGATGGATGCCTTTTTTACACATTCGTGATCTCCTAGTTGCCTTGTCTACTGCCACCTTCGTTCACCGAAAACACCCGAAGACTTTGCACTTGGGACGTGAGATGACGAGAAAATTTTTCAAGCATCTGCAAACTCGATCTAGGTGCGTACGTCTCATGTGAGAAGTGGGCTTTTGTGGTGGCTGTTCTGTTGCACCTAATTATGCTAGGCTTCAACATCGCGACAACCGACAGCGGCTCGTGAACAGTGCAAGCCACACTGCCAACGGCGTGACCCATCCGAATGGACCCCGAGAGTGTATGTCAGCAAACCGATGAACAATTCACTTGGACTTGGGTTATTATGACGTCCTAGAAAGACACTGCCAGACCCAACACTTGTAGAACAGTCAAGCAGTTTCCGAGCGATGCAAGACTGGTCGGTTGCCTTCAACGCCACTGACATCAGCAAGGCTTACTATATGAATGAATAGGAGATTGTCCCAATGTTATACGTAGGTTTAGGGCTTAAATGAATGCTGCGGGTTATTGGAAAGCGAAGCTTCTACCCGGTTTGAATTGTCATTGTAAGGGTCTTGGGAATCCCCGTCACTGACGCCGATCGCATGGACCTGATATTAATCCAGTCCCAGGGCATCGAAATGCATCTTACTTAGGCCTCTTTCCGCGTTTCCTACGTAGGATCTCAAGGCAGCCACGACAACTTTGGACACCCACTTTGATCCAGCGTCAATCACCGTCTGCCACTTTAGGATACATGTCATAGCAATTGGTCAGGTTTCGTCAGTGTATTCACATAAGGGTTTCTTTTCTTTTCTACTTCAATTCTTAGCTACCACCTGCATTGGTTCATTAACCTCTTTTGAATGTCGATTACTCCATTGTGACTGATCAGCACAGAGTAAGTTCCCTTTTAAGCCGCCGCGTGACGATGTGAGACTTTTGCTGCTTTCCTGTGATATTGGGAGCAGGGTGCAGCCTACGGAGATCCCGTCCACAGGGATTGATTCGACGTCAAATCTTCCTCTTTTCAACAACGAGCAACCTAGAAGGTGACAATTTTGGTGGGATGCGTCATCCCCCTCCCTGCGTAAACCTTAGTCAGAGGAGAAGGGGGTCGCGATGTCTCACTTCGTGGAAGAATTCTTGGTAGTGGCAACGGTAATGGTTAAGCTTCACGGTACATGCTTATGTTCTAGACTCACTCACACTCCCTTGAACGGGGACAGTTGTAGGAATTGACGGTCTAGCCCGAGATGTTTTACCGCGATGCAACGTTCCCGAGACAATTTCACGATTCCAAAGTCCCGACTAGCGACCCTTGGATTGAACCCCTAAAACAATACAACATCGGGCGTAGCTGGGAAGTGATCATCAAGTACGTAATACTCCACACGGGAAGGTCTAGATTTGGCAAAGTCGCTATGGTGCCACTCGGAAATCTGAGCATGATCAAGCGTGATCCCACATTGACCAACCCTCAAGCTAGACAGCCTCTCCCTTGCATCATCATTTGCGCAACCGACTTTCAAAAGGTGGTGTCCAGGAATCTGTCATGCGCAGTGAGAACGGTGAGGGCAAGACATGGAAGTCAAGACTCTTCTTCCACGAATGGCTCGGCCGATCGACCCCGACGCTGGAGATCTAGATATCGAGACTGAAGGCGGCTAAGAATCATCATAGACGAATATAAATCCAGCGTTTCCGCTGCGCATAATTCATGTTCATTAACCTCTGACTCATCTCAGACTCTCATATCATTTCCAATTCAACTCATAGCCTCTACTATCACACATCACATCATGATCTCCTCCGTTCTTATTGCCAGCGTTCTAGCAGCTAGCCCTGTGCTAGGTCTTGTTCGCTCCCCCAAGCCCACTTTCGTCGACAACTCTTATGTTATCAATGAAGACGCCAGATTTGCTTACAACTTGTTCTTCAACTTCACGGGCGCCACTAAGCTTCCCGATGGGCTTTACACCAGCGTTTATACCGTGGGCGAGGGGACCCATCAATACACGACGAGCAACGTCAATGTCGCAGGGGGCTACCTGCAGCTCAAGGTCCCTGGACCACAGAAATCGATGCCTTACACGGGTGGAGAGGTTGCGACGACTGAAGACAGAATCTTGTATGCTTCTGTTCGCACAGTTGCAATTCTCTCCGAACCGGCTGGTGTTTGCAATGGTATGTGCTCGCTATCTAAGAACTCACGTTGACCTTTGCTTCCAGGGTAGAATAGCTGACCTGGTCTTAGGAATGTTTTTCTATCACAATGACACCCAGGAGACAGACATCGAGTGGCTCTCTGACGCTTCCTCCCTGAGCAACAACGGCGTTCGCAAGATCCACTTCACTAACCAGGATGCCAACGGCGATGGCTCAAGCACGTACAAAGGCGTCACCCCACCAGCTAGCCCCACAAGCACCGAGCATGAGTACCGCATCGACTGGACTGAGGTTTTTGTCCGGTTCTACATTGACGGCTCTCTTATCTGGGAGACGCAAAGTGACGTCCCCAGCGCTGCCGGGCCTTGGATCTTCAACAACTGGTCCAATGGTGATAAGGGCTGGAGTGTTGGACCCCCGAAGTCCAATGCTATTTTCAAAATCAAGGATATCGATATCTACTACGACCTCGACTGGAGCCAGACTAAGTAACGTTGAGAACCATGGACCGTATGTAACGAACGATGACTGATGTATGTTTTATGATTTTATCACGTAACGATTGCGAGATATCTGTCGCTACCCATCTTGTATGTTAAATGGCTTCTTTCATTGATAGTAGCTTTCAACACGTACCTATATACAAAGACACGTGTCGAGTCAATTTTACTTCTTCTCTAGTCCGGAACGTAACAGTGACCATATGTAGGTGTTGTGCGATGGATTGAACTGTACAAGGTATTGGATTGAGGTAGCTAGTTGACACTTCCCTAGACAGCGGGTGATGGCTCTTGATTGCGAAAGCTACGGTAAACCTTGTTCAGAGAAGCCTTTCTTCAGCACACCCATATGGAACCCTTCTCCGATCTTCTTCTCCCTATTACTCCTGGTGTAGCGCGGTGTTGGTGGAATCCTTTGGCTTAGGAACTAAAAGCCAACTGACCCCGGTTCCGGCAATCAATACCACCAGAACCGGCTGTAGAACACTCACCCCTACGCGCGACGCCAGAACACCAGTAATCACAGGGAAGAGAGAGCCACCAATCTGCCCAAAGACGAATACAAGTGACAGTGCTGTTGATTGAAGTTCGGGCGGGAAGAGTTTGGAGCCGACGGAAATTCCCTGCGGAAGACAAGGTTGATATCAGCAACACCGACAGAGTTTGAGTACGAACACTTACTGTCGCAAAGAAGGGGCCGGAAAAGAAGCCGAAGAAACAGATGGCTACAGAGGCCGCAATGATATTGGGAACACTACGATGCAAATCAGCACCTTGGTCCTAGGAAAAGCCTGAGCTTACTCACAGCCAGAAGACCAATTGAAAGGCAACGCATAGAACCACATAAACCAGAATCATTCTTCGCTCTCCAAACCTGTATGTCGGTTCCGCTAGCAGCAGTCGACCCAGCATTGCTCCACCGCTGAAGCCGGCTGGCACATAGCCCATTTGCCCGATGTTGCCATCTCGAATCTCAACGAGATACTCGACGATCCACCCACCAGCTGTGATGGAGGCTCCGAGAAGGAAGAAGAAGAACAGGCTAACAGCCCAGAGGGCTTTGGTGCAGAGCACCATCTTCATGAGTTGAGTCGGTGTCTTTGTCTCCTCCGAGTCCGATCCGAGGGGCGTTTCTGAGGTGCCAAATGGGGGGACGTCTTTCTTCCGGCCGAGCTTAATCGTGTCCCTAAAGGCGAAGCAGGTCAAGGCCAGGTTAAGGGCACCTATGCCTATTGGGAAGCTGTAAAAGAGGTACCACTTCGACGTTTCTCCAGCTGATGCGATGGGAGTCGCCACAAAGGGCGCAACGAGGCAGCCGGCCATATAGAGGGCGTGTATGAAGGCTAGCCATCGATGGGCAGCCTTGACACTGGCAACATATGCGTTGGCGCCGGCATCTTGGTATGCTTGACCCAGGCAGACTAGCCAAAAGGTGACCGCAAAGAAGGGAAAAGGAGGCTTCCATACACGAAGTGCATGTGCCACAAGCTGGAAGAAGGCGCCGAATGCGAGGAGGCCACCGAGGTCGAATACTTGTCGGAGATGTGTATTCGTGAGGGCCGCAAGAAACCATCCGAGAAAGTTTGCACCATAGCTGTTTCCCATCGGTTAGAAGGTGTTGATGAAAAGAAGTAATGTGGAGAGGGGGTTAGACAAACATGATGGAGACAACAGCTGTACTGATGTTGTAGTCACGAATCATGTACGGGAGTAGAGGTCCGACACTGCCATCGTTGACACCGGATACAAAGAACGCGAAACCGGCGGCGATGAGCTTCAGAAGGGTCTGATTGTCAAGCTTGCCTTCGCCGAGTGGCTGTGGTGGCGCGTCGTCCACCGCGGGGTTTTGCTTCGAGGAGTCTGCGAGCTCGTAAGACTCCGTGACAACGGGCTCTTGCTGTGTGATAGTGGCCATATCGTGTAGCAGTAAGATGCAGTATCTACGACGACTGATGAATCGCCTAGGATCTTCCGCCCTTAGTCTTTCTTTATGGACGCGTCGGGGTTTGTGATGGCCATGACGATGTCGGGTAAATGTCGGCCTCGGCAAGCTTCATTGTGGATCCAGTATCCCGTGCTACTCCGGCTAAACTCCGGGATAGATGGAGTGGGGCCAAATCCGGGGCAACTCCCCGGCCAACCGGCGGAGTGGAGCGGCATTTCGGGTCGGATTCCGGAATTGGCGCCGGGGCCAGGCGAAACTTTGGCTGGAAAGCTCACACTCTACAGCTTCGTAGCCCCTCTTTTTTGCGCCACACCGACGAACTAGTCGAGAAGGAACGTTCACGCGGCTGCCTAGCTCTTTTATCCTCATCGCCAGGTGCATATCTTATGCTTTGGATGGCAGTTGATGCTCGGATTTGAGAGCCCGAGATAGTGAAGCTTATTAGGATAAAATACTGATAGGAACTCCATTGCAACTCGATTCATTTCATCCTCGAAGTGCTTTCACTCCTGTATTGTGAGGTAAACGGTCTGCGCCGTGAACCCAACACTGGGATTGTCATCAAGTTACCTATGTAGCGTGCGTCATCATGTCTTTATTTCATCGAGCAAGCACATTTACCTCATCTCGCGACCGAAGAACCTGGTGTTGACCTGCCTTGATGCCTACAACTTCGCAAATGACTGCTATCATACAGTGGCTTGCCTAGCAGAAAGGTTCAAAGTCATCGGTTTGTTGCCGCCTCCACTTTCGAGCTTGGTGTCGGGCTTTAGAAGTGTTGCCTCGCTAGCATTTTGGAAATGGGGGCCCTCTTCCCGGGTTTGAGTCCCCATGCCCCCAACGACAGAACTCCCCGCTAGAACTCTAGTGGTCACCTTTCCCATCGGGTCGAAACTTTGTCTTAAACGACAGGGGCGGAAAACGTTAGTCTGAGAGATCTACCCGGCGAGGACTCGCCACCAGCTTTCGTTAAGCATTGGTTTGACAATTATCATGAGAATGCAACCTTTCTGGCCATGAGGATGAATCTGTCACAGGATAGGGTACTTATCGATCTTCTGTCATATGCGAGCCTGTACGAGTCACTCGCTGTATGTCGGCCGGCGAACGATTGTCGGCTCTTCGCCGACCCAGTCAACTGAGTGGATTCTGCCCAGTGGCTTTGGGCCTGAAAAGAACACCTGCCACCGTCCTGCAACACGCGACCGTTTCTATCCCCTGTATTGTCAGACCCAGGAGGCGCAGCAGGATTACAAACAATACCATCACTACATGTAGCTGCTGTCGCGGGGCATCGTTCTCATGCTCCATGTATTTACATCCATACCGAAACAGAGGCAAGCTGAAGAATGTCATGAAGATCTTCGTTCCGTAAGCCCGTGGTTTAGCGCCTTGGTGGCACTCATTCAAAGGCGGTGAGGAGCTGCCTTTACAAGCGAAAAGGGGAAATACCCGTAGCGTCAAACGCAACAATTACTGCCAGTGGTCCTGTCCACGATCATAGCTTGCGGGCTATTTGGGGGGAGCCTCCCCGACCATTAACCACTTTCACAATGAGATGAACTCTCGTGGCTAATCTGAGTCCGGAAGTAAATATGAACGTGATGCCTGTTTCGGAACAAGTATGCTTATTGTCCCGTGACTTGGACATACGAAGGAAACAAGAATGACAGCTAGTCAATGCCGCTCAAAATTCTGAAGCAGCTCGTTCTTTCAGGGCATACTCGGCGACTGCAACCTTTTCTTCGTAGGTTCTCGTAGTGGTCACGGCCCTGGCAGGACTGACGCTACTCCTCCCCCCATCTCGCACCGCACGGCTTGGATAGCAATCCATTGCCTGGCCGTCTGCGACGGTACCAAAGGCAACATCGAAGCGAATGATTTGCAGCGGCAAAGATTCGCAAACCTTAACTGTCGTGCAGAGGAGTGTATTTGGACTTGCTGTAGACGTCAAAGCCGATGAGAGCAGCAGGGTAGACGGGCTTTCAAGTGGTACCGATAGATGTTCGTGCGGCATAATCCATGGCGCATTCTGGAGACTGATTCAGGTGCGCCAACTCTTTCAGTATGCCCGAAGCCTGGAACGATGCAGTAAGAGGCTGTCAATCTCTCGGCGTCCCTTTCTGCCGACCTTCACCAGCGCGCATTGGCTCCGTTGATGTGGCTCCGTTGATGTCAGTAAATGCCGACCATCAACACAGACAGTATCATCGCTACTTCAGGCCACTATTTTAAGAGCAAGATACATAATGATCTGATGAAAAGCTTTGATGTAAATGACGGCCACAGAAACATGCAGTCTGCGGGGAATTAACAGCCGAGCTCAGATGCTCAGTCCGATCGTCCAGCGTGCTAGGCCACTGTAATCATGTCCCTCGGCAGAATCGTGTTGGTCTACCGTTTCGAACAATGCCTAATCCAGAAAGTCATCGAGTCATATGACGGGAAGAATGCGCCATCCGTTCAGCGAAACGGTGCGCCGGACGCAGCTAAGGGGTGGTCCAGAAATAGTTGAGTTTCATGCGTTCGTGATCAGACGGGAAGTCTAAAGCAGTTCTCTGTCAAATCAGATGCCGCACCTTTTGCGTCTCGGGAAATGCACAGAATCCGACGCCTTTCTCTCGGCATTTCCAAGTCATAGATGGGACGGAACTTTTACTTTTTCGTTTTTTTCTTGTTTTTTGAAATGGATATACTTGTTTACTTATGGTCGCCGGAAACTCAACGCTTTCGGTCCGTCAAATCCGTATGCGAGCGGACTTCAATATGTGATGCTGTCGCAGACAGTCATGTTGATTGGAGAGGTCCCTTGAAGTAAACAGGATAATGAAAAAGAAATCTCGACAATTTTACCCGCCCAGAGCAATCCGTAGATCTGTGTAACGTAGGTACACACACTCGCACACGCGAGGCAAAGCATCCCTGGCAGTGGTCACCATCCCCAATTGCCCATGAGGTTCCGCCGCTTGATTTCACGAACCCGGCGTCGGTCGATATTGTCGGTTTTACCGATTCGCCGACCAAGACGTCCGTTTCCATTGAACTTCCGAGCCTCCAGTCCTGCGGCTACTGCCCCAGCCCCAGCAGCCTCCTTCGCCTCCTTGGCTTTCTTCTTCGCCTCAGGGTCTTCCTCGCCTTCAGGAGGCGGTGGTGGAGGACCTCCCAACGCCGCCTCTTCAGCAGGACCGGAAGCTGCGTCCAGTCCGTTCTCCTTGGCCTCCTTTGCCTTCTTCTTAGCCTCGGGGTCAAGTTCGGCATCCGGAGGAGGCGGTGGAGCTGCCGCTGCGGTACCATTTCCGAGCAGAGCTCCGGGGGCGAGGTCAGCCTTGCCCTTCTTGCCCTTCTTCCCCTTCTTCTTCTTCCCGTCAGGGCCGACTGCGGCTGTACCATTGCCGGCAGCAGCACCGGGACCAGCCGCTCCTCTGGCAGCATCCGCTGCCTTCTTCGCCTCATCTGCCTTCTTCTTTGCATCATCTCGTGCCTTTTTGCCAGCATCGTCCTTGCCCTTTCCAGGAGGAGGCGGAGGAGCTGCGGCAGTGCCGTTGCCTGCTAGAGCACCGGGGCCGAGATCAGCCTTGCCCTTCTTGCCCTTCTTTCCCTTCAATTTCTTCCCGTCAGGACCAACAGCTGTTCCATTGGCCGCGGCGGCGCCGGGACCCGCAGCTCCTCTCGCAGCATCAGCAGCCTTCTTGGCATCGTCGGCCTTCTTCTTGGCGTCATCTCTCGCCTTCTTGCCCGCGTCGTCCTTGCCCTTTCCAGGAGGAGGAGGAGGGGGAGCCGTGGCGTTGGCAGCAAGACCCGGGGGTGGCGGAGGCGCACCGACAGCCGGGACAGCCAGGGGTTGAGGAGCAGCGCCGTTTGCCGCCGGAGCAGCTTCAGGTGGCGGGGGAGGGGGGCCAAGTCCATCGGGAGGGGGAGGAGGAGGTCCAAGTCCATCAGGAGGAGGTGGTGGCGGCGCTCCATCGGGAGGCGGCGGTGGTGGACCACCATCGGGAGGAGGTGGTGGCGGTCCTCCATCGGGTGGTGGCGGTGGTGGCCCTCCGTCAGGAGGAGGTGGTGGTCCACCATCGGGGGGAGGCGGCGGCGGTCTACCATCAGGGGGCGGTGGCGGAGGAGCGTTCGGGTCGGGCGGCGGAGGCGCATCTGGAGGAGGCGGCGGTGGTGCTCCAGCTGGGGGAGGCGGAGGCGGTGCCCCAGCCGGAGGAGGAGGGGGAGCACCACTGGCTCCGGGAGGCGGTGGTGGCGGCGCACCGTTAGCCGGAGGGGGCGGAGGAGGAGCGGCGTTCGGATCCGGAGGGGGCGGTAGTGCTCCAGCTGCTGGAGGAGGAGGAGCACCGCTCGCAGCCGGTGGTGGTGGAGGAGGGGCAGCGTTCAGATCCGGAGGAGGCGGCGCGTTGGCCGGAGGAGCTGGGGGTGCTCCATTCGCTGGGGGTTGCGGCACAGGAGCAGCAGCACCCTCGGCGGCCAGCGGCGTCAAGTTCGGAGACGCATCTTGTTGACTTGGTTAACGAATCGCTCAAATTGTTCGAGGTATGTAGACATACCCTGCGCCTTGTTGCTTCCAAGCGCCGACAGAACACTGTCAACGTTCAACTTCTGAACCAAGTTCCTCACATCGAAACGTCCATGCTTCACTGAGCCCGTATCCAAATCCCGCTTGGTATCCTTCGAGGCTTCAGCTTTTCGAGTATCGTAATTAGCAGTCACGGCTGCGTTGAACAGCAGTGCTGCCACGGCGGCTTGCCGCCATGAGAGAGGGTTAGGCATGTGGAGAAACTACAATATAAACAGACGGATACTAATATTTGTAAAGGAAAAGGTTCTTCTGAGGCATCAAGCCTGTCAGTAAGAAGAAAGAAAGGAAGCCTACACTGTAGACTGAAATAAGAAAAGGACGAGATGAGAAGTGAATAAAAGGTTCAAGAGAAAGTTCCGAATCATGAGAAGGGACGAAAGGCCTCGGTCTAGATATACATTGCTCCCCGACAAGTGTGGTTGCGTGATGCTCCACTTGATCAGTCGGCTGAACTTGTGTCTCACCGGACTCTTGATGCGCAGAGGAGAGAACAAGGCCAGGCCTCTGGGCGATCGCGTGCAGGGGCCCGTTTGAGAAGGCAATGGATGAGCGACATGGAAGTTGCATCGATGCTACGGGGGGCAAAGTCATCTCGAGCCGGGTTTGAGGCTTGAGACTGCGGACGGGAAAGGTGTTCACAGAGCCTGGTCAGGGACGGGGGCAAGGCCACTTGATGGCTAAACGGATAACATCGTTGTAGTTCTACGACTTGGGACCGGGCGAGAGAAACGGCGCTGTGACAAGCTTCGAAAAAGCCTGCAGGTCCAAAATTAGATCACAAAGTCGAGACGACCCGGACTGAAGAGGGGATGGAAAAGTGCTCGGAAGCGATCGCCAAGATAGTCCGATTCTAGTAGGGGCTACAGACTGGACACAGGTCGATAAGGCCTGGGCTAGTGGACAAGCTTATTCATGTCAGCGTTGCGGCGGCCCGCGGGGATATGCGCTCAGATCCCGTTCCTCAGAGAGACGGCAGCGGTGGACTAGAACGGCGCCATTCTCAAACAAGGTGTGCGGGGAGTTGTCTGTCTGTGATGTCGATAATGATGAGAAATCGGGACATGGTTGGTTGGGGGCTGAGGGGAGTATCCGCTCGATGAGAGTACCGCAGTAGGTAGATCGGAGAGGGACAGGGAACGCGTGCCGAGGTCGGTGTTGGAAGATGATTGATCCTGGCACAGGGGTGCCGGTGACTTGCAGTCGACGTTGAACAGCTGGGACTCGGCCGTGCAGTTGCAGCACTAATGACAGACGAGGGCGGGAAGAGGAGAGTTGGCTGGAGGAGGAACCGTTTCAGACGCGGAGCCAGGTCTACCCGGAATAGCTTCACTCTGCTGTAGCAAGCGAAGAGCGAACTGTGGTCCACGCGAGTGGCTGAGCGCGCTGTCACACCAAGTCGCAGATGTGTGCCAAGAGAGGGTGACATTGCACAGCAGTGAACCTGGGAGAAAATCCAAGATGTCATCGGACGATTATTTTAAAAGTCGACAAACCTGTTTCATCTAGTTTCTCTTTGGTGTGAATACCCCACTAACAGATCGCAGTGGCGTCTAACCACATCATCTGTTAGTGATCTATCGTCTTAGCCCAGCACACGGATCGTCTCGCCCCCCAGGACCACATGCCTGGAACAGGAAGTTTGAGAACCCGAATACTCTAGAGTCAGGTTCGTGGGTGAATGAGCCTGATTCATCCGTCGCGATCATCTGAAAGATCAGTTTGTCAACTCTGCATGCCAACTCTGTGCACCACCACCGTAGCCCAAGGTTTGTGGGTGACGAACGATGACAAAATTGCGAGCGGTTCGCATCTAGAAATGTGAACGATTCATGAGGACCCGGTAGACTGGCTATCTATTGATGTCTCAGAGAAAGAAGCTGTGCATCCAACACAACCTAGTGATATTTCGTGGTGCCATTCCCTTCAGACCAACAACATCATTCTCCGGCCTCCCGCCTTGAACTGTCACTTTGGGAGTAATGGGAAAGTTACAGAAAATCCCTCACACAAATTCATCACAGCTAAGAGCTTTGCGAAACCTTGAGTCGGGCTCACTAGGCCTCTTGCGAGGGATGCTGAATAGCAGCGGGTGCAATGATGAGTGCCTGCCACCCCTGCAGCGATTGCCAGCACATGGGCCAGGCGGGCGATCACCGTCGGCCGTTTGTGATGGGCAGGGAGATTGACAAGATTATCTTGATTGTCTGCATCCATGTCTGCCATGAAATGCTTATTCACAAACCTGGCCGGTTCTCACACGCGCATCGTCGAAGATCGCCACAGCCACTGGCAATGTGTTAGACGTTCCGTTCTGTTCCCACGTTATTCTTTCCAGTTCTAGCCACCAGACTGGGCTCCCCAACATTTTTGTGGCGCCAATGTCACGCTACAAGCCCATCGAGAGGATTGCGGATCGCCATGACAAGTCACAATTGACAGTATCTGAATAAAAGGGATGAGTCGCCAAGACTGAGTGGTTAGACGACATGCACTGCCTCAACTCGAGCCGCTCCAGCTGATGGAACGTGATGATGGAACGGTTTGTAATCACTTAGATGGGCCTGAAGTGCCTCGAGAGGCTACACAGAAACATGGTTTGAGGCAAATCAGTTTGTGAAGAGACACCTGCAGAGCGACGGGGAGCTGCCATGCTCTCGTGAGCCTCAGACAGCTTCAACTAATCTGCTCTACCCGAGTATAGACAGGGATATCACGGAGTCTGATTTGAAGTATTTGATTTACACGGAAAAGTCCAGTGGCACATGGGCGTGGCGGCGAAACTAAAACCCTCACCATGTCCTAGAGCCGTCTGTAGATACCTGTTGGAACAAAGCTGCGACCACATCATAAGTTCTCTTGGTCTTCATCTGGTAATTCATCTCCACGTCTAAGTGAGATAAGGTGACGATCAAACCCCGGAGGATTAGTTCTGCTGAACTTTCTCTCAGATGCCACACGCCCGTTTCCACAAGTCCTGTCGTGAGTCCAGGCTTGGATTCAGATTAATGGCTTGCTTCACTTCAGAAACAGGGCTGCACTGCCTCGTGAAAAGGGACACCATTCTCAGACGATTCCATGTTCAAACACCACGGAGAGAACTACCGATGGCCGCTGTTCCGAGGTAGCGATATGCTGTTCGGCTCGTGGAAGTCAGCCTTTCAGGGAGTTTTGACATGTCGATGGGTTCTTCGTGGTGTTGCCGGGTGAGGCGACAGCCAACGGCCCTGTTCTACCGCATTTTGAAATCAATCCGGGCCTGTGATGCCGGTGTTGGTGAAACCTGGTGCGAAACTTCGGTACTCCGCCTGTGGCCTCCGCTCGTGTGGCTGGTGTGTGTGTCGTTTTCGCGATTTGAATCCGTGCATCATCGCCAAGGTCATGCTCAGAGTGGGAACGGCGATTGTGCATCCACTTGGGAATTTTCACAATCATTCGCTTTTTTGAATCGTCAAAAAATGTGTTTTTTTGATGCTGCTGGTGACACCAAGAGCAGAGCAAGACTTGGCCCTTCCCCCTAGCCAACATCTACCGTGTGTGCGTGCACTGCGTTAACTTTCACCTTGCGTGATCACTTGTGAGGTTGAAGCTTAAAATAACTGCGGGCGAACATGACATGCTATTTGCGTTTCACTCTCCCAAATGACACTGACAGACCTACAGACGTCCGAACATCTGAAGTCAAAGTAAACGCTGGCAACCTTGGGGCTCAAGTGAATGGGCCATCCCTGATGGAAGGCCGCCTTACACCTGAGAACAGTAAGAAGACCTCGCCCTCCATCGGGAAACCCAACGGGATGTGGCCTGCACAGAGGGATCTGGCATAATCCGACACGTAATGTCTAGTACCGTTTAGGTGAATAGAAAACCCTCCGTTTCCCAACTTCTCATGTGTTCGCTGCAGCTAGTCAGGAACTCACATTAACTGACTGGCTGAATCCCCTGGGCTTTCATACAAATACTCAACATGTTCCGGTTCCCCTCTCGCCACAGTCGGCTCCCGCTCTGTTGGCTTCCCACCATCGGCTAGCGCAAATTGATGCCTTCAGCAAATCAACTATGCGCCAAGCTGGATGGCCTCTTAGATCATCTTCTCGCTTGGGACTAATTCATCTCGTAGACTCTGACCTGTGCCGTGATGACTAACCCCAACATCTGCCGGGGTCTTCCCCGCATTCCCCCTGTCTCCCCGGATTGAACGTGGCCCCGTTAAGCCCGATTCCCCGCAAGTGGGATCCTCTCAACTCTAAGGCTGCGTCGTCCAACCACCTTCGTCCCATTGTAACCTCATCGTAATATGCTCGTAGCCTGCATCGTGTACTCTCTATTGCAATCAAGACGATGGCCACACAACAGATCAGTTCGGCAACGCCCATCCCCGTGATTGATGATGCTGCGTCACGTCGTGCAAAGAAGCGGGAACTCGACAGACGCGCTCAGCGTGCAGCACGTGAGAGGAATAGGAATCGCATCGCTTACCTCGAGGCTACGATTCAGGCCATGAGCGAGCAAGAGTCCAGCGGTAGGATCGCCAGCCTGATGAATCAACTTTCCGACATGACGAGACAGAAGGACAACCTGGCCAAGGTGCTCTCCTCGATTGAAACGTCCATCCAGGTCCTTAGGGAAGGGGAGAAGGCAGATGGCACCACCTCCACTGACCAGGCATCCCGACTGCTCAATGCGACCTCCAACTGTCAACCTTGGTCTGAGGACCATGCCGCCTCCGATTCACTCGCTATGGACGTTGGAGAGGATAGTAACCTGGGCGCGTTCGCCCCTGGCGATGCCGCAATGACCTGGGGCCTCCCGGCGTCTGGTACAGCCGGTCACCTCATCACAACGGCATCGGAGTTCTCCAGCGGTCTCTCAGCTCCAACATCTTTCCCATTGACAGGGGACCCCAATCTCGAAACCTTCCCCGACTCCCCCCCAGCTCCCTCGGCTGGGCAGGGCGACGGCGTCATTGTGCCCGAGCCTGATTCGGCCTGTGAGTGTTTAGCCTCAAGACAGGATCCCGGAAGTCCCGGTCTGCCGGCGGGTTCGAGTATCTGGCGAAGTGCAAACGAGGCTCTTGGCGGTCGCGAGATGCTGCCCAGGAATGTGCTCGACATGGAAGACGAGATGAGCGACGATATTCCAGTACGCGTCATCCTGGAAGGCTGGGACGCCGTTGAGCGGTCTGGCAAGTTACCGCCGCTTTGGAAGAAGTTGAGGCGGACCGACAGCCTCCAGTTCCGCAACTGCGCGGATACTGAACGGCTGGCTATCCTGAGACTTATGCACCGACTCCTACGGTATCAAGCGGAGCCTACAGTCGAGCAGTGCGCCAAGCTGCCCGCGTGGTATCTTAGCAGGTACGTCGTCTAATGTTGCTCTTGCCAACGATATGAACGAACATCCTAACAACAATCATAAGGCCATCGCAGTCGCTGCCTCACTCTTCAGCAATAGACTTCTTTGTTTGGTAAGTGTTAAAGCTCGGGACACGGGTTGGTGCATCATGGACAAAAGCTAACTTTGTCGGTGTTTCTAAACATAAACAGGCCAGGAGTCCGAGAACGCTTTGTGTTTGCGCAACACCAGTACTGCTCGAACCTGTTCTGGAAGGTGTTTGCTAACAGCTTCCGAATCATGTGGCCCTTTGAGTTCCGCGATTGCTACAGACGAAACGTAGAGACCGGGCGATACACCGTGTCGCCAGAGTTCGAAGACAGGATTAGGGACATCAACTCGTGGACCATGTCCGCGGATTTCTTCAGTCACTTCCCAGAGATGTATGCTGATATCCCGGCGTACCAAGAAATTCCAAGATCTTTGGGATGGATGGAGGGCAGGGTGAATGTGTCTCGGAAGGGCGGACTAGTCGAGGAGCTGGAAGTCGGCAGTTCGCCAAGGAGCAGGAGAAGTTCTGACATGGACATGATGGCCTTGACAACCTTCCAAGATTGGGCATCTGGCCACCTGTTACGACCTAGCGTATCACGTTCATGAAAACGAAGCCATACCGATGCAGTCTTCGAGTAAGTATCGACTTGGCATGTGCCATCCGTGAATTGAATGAGCTTACTAGCGTTTAGACTTAATCTCATGTTTACTAGCTAAACATTATCGTCGAATCACTGGGTTTTCACTTCTCGCAGACAAAGCTAGCTGCATCTTCCAAGTCCCCTTCTCCTTTGTATCTGAGAGACTGCGGATAGGGGCACAGATTTCGGGTCGTGTCAACGCCATCTTGAGTCGTGGTTGCAAACATCGTGTCAGGCACTTTGCCCTGTTCAACCCAGCCTACCAGAACAGACAAAGGATCAACGGGGACGGGCCCGTATCCGCCACCGCAATGGCCGGCCCCGGGCGCAAGGAAGACCCGATAAAACTCGTTGAGGCCTTCCGTGCCTCCCATCTTCTTTTGCAGTCGGTCCCAGTAGAGCGTCGTTCCCGGATGAGCGATGAGCGGATCAGCCATGCCGTGCCACGTCAACAACTTGCCGCCGGCTTTCTTGAATGCCGTCAGGTCGGGTGCGTCAGTACCGAAAGGCTCGATGTACTTGTCGACAGACTGTTGGAAGATGTCCTCAAACTCCGCAAACGTCAGGGACGCGGTGTCGAGATCTGGATTCTGGGCGACAAAGTAACGCATCCAAGCTTCCGCGGGGGCGAATGGGACGGGAACGGTCACGCCATTTTCAGTCTTGGTGTTGGCAAGCCCGCTGAACGGCGCGCCGGGAGGGTTGCCATACCACAAAAACTCTCCAGACGTGGTTGTGGCACCCTCGAGAGTCTTTGCAACAACCTCGGCGTAGGCCTCGGTGATCGAGACACCTCCGCTCGTATCAGTGCAGTTGATCTCCTTGCCGGCGAGTTTGCTGGTGTCGAAGTTGCACTTTTCGGGGGCCGAGATGAGACCATCCGCAGCACCATCCAAAGGATCACATTCAGCAATTATCGCCGCTTGATATGTCTGGAAAACGCATTGAGGCGGAGCGGCAATGTTTCCCATTACCACCGAAGGCCAAAAGTCTCCAGGAGATACTTGGGGCGTATTGATGGCAGGCGCGTTAGCCAAGATGCCATCAAAGTCTTCCGGGCTGTACTGCGCGGCGAAGTAGCCTTGCCTGCCACCTTGAGAGCAGCCACTGTAGTAGGAGTGCTGAGGATCGGTGCCATAGAACGACTTGACGGCTGCCTTGCCTATGAGAGTCATCTCATGAATGGAACGAGTCGCGAAGTTTTCAATGAGGGCGGTGTTGATGCTACGGTCGGGGTTCAAGGCCCATTCTCCGGAGTTAGGATCAATCGTGTGATTCAAAGTCAAACCCGCATCAGTCGAGCCGGCGGCGTAACCTTTCGACACTGGATCCGTCAAGGCAGAGGCGAAAGTGCCAGCAGCGAGACCTCCTCCACCTGTTGCGAGGAAGCGACCGTTCCAGTTGTCGAGTGGGAGCCAAATGCTGACGAAGACCACGTCGTTCGCACCGTCATGGTTGAGTGTAAGAGTGTAGTTGCAAAAGCTGGCCTGTGTTCCAGACGAATTAGACGGGAGAGTGTAGTTGTGAACTTCCACACTCTGAGCTGAGGTCACTGTTAAGCCATCGAGTTGTGGTATCGTGACCTTGTCGCAGGCAAGCTTGGGGCGAGAATCGTGATTGACTGCCGGAGCACCGAGTACCGTTTGGCCTATTACGGTCAGGAAGAAGCACAGGAGCATCATCATATTAATTCGTATCCGATACGAAACAATGAGAGAACGCCCCCTTCTGAATCAATCATCTTACTATGCTCCTCTGAGGCATCCATGGATATTTAAATACAGCGACTTCTATCTCGATCATAGTGCCCCATGGGGAGATGCCCACAAATTCACAACAACAACAACAACTGACGGTGTGGAGTTTGGTGACATTGCGGGGAGCTTACCATGCACGTTGACAGCGCCATGCTGCATATCCGAGATGGACCCGATTGATACTTCATGGCAGTCCAACGGGTCGTCGAAATACGCGGATAACTGTGCTCGTGACGCGGCTCTCCACGCCAACCCCTTCAAGACGCAACCCCACGATCCAGACGTCTTCCATATAACCTTCATAATTGGCCAGCCAATTCTCCGGGTTTGCTTTACCGAGTAGGAGGTTCGCGAACTCTTGGCCTGCGTCCAGCCTTAGCGTGAGTAGTGGAATAGTGCAGCTTGATGGGTGTCCCACGTTGCGAGGGGAAAGGATCGGAGTCGGGGGCGCCAGGCTACTGACACATGGCGCCAGAGTCGACGAGTCTGACTCTTGCGCCCTGACTCAGTGGCGTTGTCCGAGCTCCACTCCCGCCGCGGGCGTCCACCAATTCGCCGTCTGCTTGGGAGAGCCACGCGAGGGTCCTGGTCGCCGGGCTCGGGGCTGGGAAAAGAGACTCCCCTACCCGCACTACCCCGGATTACCCCGCATGCCGGTTTGCCTCCTAGCGCAACATCACCGGGGGATTGGGAATGGATGGTCGCTTATTTGGCGGCTGCTTTGGTCTTAGGTCTATTGTGTGTTGTTGAGAACATGTCATGATGGGTTCTGGATTGGAGGTAATGGACTTGGCGCATGTGGCCCATGACTATCCCTGCGGGTATTTAAGAAGAGAGGGATCGACGCTTTTCACAGAGTGCAGTTTGATGGGATCGTAGCAACACGGCGAAGTCCAGTGCCGAGTGATTCGAAAATCATCAAGCGTTACTTACCATGGACCATCGTGAAGCATCCCACGACCTTCGTCGAGAGGAGTCTGGCACTTACGGCATCGACGAGAAGATCCACGACTCCGCCCATGTTGAGAACATCAAAGGCCAAGATGTTGGTGTTATTAGCGGTCTAAGCCTCGAGGAGCAGAATAAAATCATGTGAGTCGGTTACGGCTGCCTAACTCGAGGGAAAATAGTAACATCTGGGAAGCCGACGGATCGACCTGCGACTTCTCCCGATCCTAGGCATCATGTACTCGATCTCGCTAATTGACCGAACAAATCTTGGTCTAGCACTTGTTGCGGGCATGCAGGAGGATCTAGGACTGGCGGTGGGAAATCGGTACACAGTCATCGTCATGGTCTTCTTTGTTGCATACATGTAAGTCACTCGATGAATCTATGTTTCGGTCTTCAAGACTAGAGGGAAGACTTGTACTGACAGAACTCTACCAGTATCTTCGAGATTCCTAGCGTATGCCACGACCCTAATAAGTCCAACCGATCCTCATTGACGATTCATGCAGAACCTTATCCTCCCGAAAGCCGGTCCAGCAAATTGGCTGTCTTTCCTTGGCGTTGGCTTTGGTGCTGTGCTTATCGGCATGGGCTTCACAAAGAGCTGGGGTATGATGGCCCTCTGCCGTGCTTTGCTGGGAGTTCTAGAAGCTGGTTTTCTTCCGGGATGCACATATCTCATCACCTGCTGGTACACTCGTTTTGAAGTCGGAAAGAGATTATCTGGGTTTTGGATTCTGTCCGTCATCACAGGTGGCTTTTCTGCCATTTTCGCATATGTCTTGACTCTTTTAAAGGGCAAGGGAGGACTCAACGGATGGAGGTGTTAGTGCCCCAGTCCTGCGCGATGTTCTTAAGGTAATGCTGACAGAGTTGGCCAGGGATCTTCATCATCGAGGGCGCCATTACTGTCGTCGTCTGCGCCATCGGCTGGTTCACCATCATCGACTTCCCCACGCAAGCTGGAAAGTTCTTGAAGCCAGCTGAACAAGAGTTCATCATCGCTCGCATTAACCAAGACCGGGGAGATGCCGAGGAGGACAAGATTGATGGGGCAAAGATTTTACACCATCTTAAGGACTGGCGGTTGTATTTTTGGGCGTTCAACCTCATGGCCTCGACATTGCCCGGTTACGCTTACTCCTACTTTCTACCCATCATTCTCCGCAACGGCATGGGCTTCAGCAGCACCCAGGCTCAGCTGCTATCTGCCCCGCCGTCCGTACTAGCTGCCATCATGGCCTACATTTCGGGCTGGCTTGGTGACCGGTATAAGATGCGCGGCCCGATTATTGCAGTGCATCAGGCTCTGACGGCTGTCGGCATGTTGATAACTGTCTATGGGAAGGCAAATGGTGCTCGATACTTTGGAGCTTTTCTTGGTAAGTGATTCATTGCTGACGTATGGTATGGTGTCTAACCTTTGCTCCAGGTATTGGGTTCTTGCAGTTTTGTGTTCCTGGTGTGCTCACATTCCAAGCAAACAATATCACGTCACACTCAAAACGTGCAGTTGCTTCAGCGACATGTCTCATTGGTGGTGGCGTTGGTGGGATTATCGCGAGCACGGCATTCATGGCAAAGGAGAGTCCTCATTATACGGTAAGTTCGAGCTTATGACGCGACATCTCCAGAATATTTGAGGTTGCTGACTTTTCTGAATCAAGACCGGCATTTGGACAACCTTCGCCATTTCCATGGTGAGTATTCTGATGATCGTCATCATGGACATTCACCTTTGGCGATGCAATAAAGCTGCCAAGGCAGGTCATCGGCAGAATGAGGGTATGGAAGGCTGGATGTATACTCTTTAGTGATGTATGTTATCGGAAAGACTTATTTAAAGACTCTGAAGACGCTCTAAATACACCCAACATCTACCCTGAAACCCTCGAAGCCTCCATGGAGACAATGTTCATTATTTGATGGCACTCTTTTCTGCCCTTCCTAGACCAGAAATGTGGATGTCTTCCAAGCGGATCACAAGGTCGGTTATTTTTAAAGTCCATTGAGGGAAACACAAATCCTATGATTGTGGGGACACATCAACCAGCCCACACATTCCCTGAATCGCTTCCGAGATGACCCCTAAGGCTGTAATGCCACTACCGTCATGAGGACGCTACCATGGTCTGGCTATCAGTTACTGCATCCCACGTGGCGGTCGACATGATTAGATGTGTACTGACCTGACTTCCGTAGAACCCTGTAATAGCTGTTCCAGGAGACGCGGTAATTAGGCAAGGTAGACTGCTTGGTGGATCAGAATGGAATGAGAAGAAACATGATCTCTCCCGAATTGTGGTCGCCTTCATGTCATTCGTTCAGGGTTAGTCCTGATAAAGTGACAAGAAGATGACTGTGAGTAACCAAACTTAAATGCCACCACAGTCCCTTCTTCAACCAGCCAAGGGTAACCTTCATCGGGGTAATGATGGAGCACCTCGACAGCTTTGATGAATTCGCCTCCAGCTCCGTCGATCGCGAAGTCGATGGCTTTTGTCCACTCTCCCGGCGCTTGGCATCCGAATGTTCGATGTTCCGAAGGGACTGGAACGTCGTATGCGAAGTCGATGCGACGTATGCCGCCGCCACCCCAGATGACGCTGAGACGGGTGAGATTTCGAAGGTAAATGCCACCTGGGCCACCGAATGAAGTCCAAAATAAAGGTTTGTATCCGCTCAAATAATGCTCCCTCGGAGGAAACGACGCTTCGTTCAAGCAGAGGGTTTGTTCCGGTACATCAGGATACCACATTCCCAAATTTCGCAGCCTGTTTCCATCCTGTGCCGTTCTATTGGGCGACGAAGACTGACAATAGACAGATAGGCTGAAAATTTTGCAGCCCTTTGAAGTTAGCAAATATGAGCAGCAACTTGGCAATTCGTTGCACTTACATCGAATCCAATGTCCAGGTCAGCAGCGCGCTCACCCATGTCTAAACGCAGCGTCTTGGGTGACCTTTCCGGACAGCCAATCCAGGGAGAGGTTGAAGATTTTGAAGAAATGCCCTGCAAAGCTTGAATACCCCTTGATCCCACGGCCAACTTGAAGCCGCGGAGGCCTGAAGTTTCCACAGATTGCTCAGACGCGGTCCAGTAGCCAATCTGACAGATATCGCCTGCAGCATTGGTAAATTTGAGTCCAGTGACGTAACTGATGTCTCCCAACAGAATGGAACAGACAGAAATTTGCGATAAGTTTTCAGGGATAGTCACCCGGTGCCTTTCGAAGAGACGACAGCCCTTGTCGAATAGAGAGTAACCTGCAACCGGCTGCTCCCACATCTCGCCAGAAACTTCTATACGCTGGTCAGAGCATGGAGAATAATTGACGCCAATCTGGACCCAACGGAAATCCAGAACATCCACAAGCTTCTGGGCTAGATTCCAAACACGAGCTCTGTTTTGTAGGCCAAAGTCTCTACGCAGATTGTTCGTTCGGCGATATAACCATCTCCAATTTTGAGTCTCCGTGCTGCGACGAGCCTCAAAGAGCCATGAGCGGTCTGAAGAATGTCTGAATCTCGATGCCCAAAACTGTTGATTATTGAACATGGTCCAGAACGCACGCGAGGCTAAGCGAAGGTTCAAGACATCCACTGTCGGCAGATACATGGCGATCACTGACCGGAGCTCTTCTGGAAGTGCAAAAAAGACATCTCGTCCTGGCGTCATTGATCCAGAGACCGATAATGTTGAGCTTGGAGGCGATTCGGGGTCTTCGATCAGCAGATTCTGTATCTCTGGGACGTCGTATGGGTTCGTTGTGAGGACAAGATCGGGCTCCATGTACTCTCGATCGGAGAATCGGTCCTCCCATGGGAAATGGTGTTCGTTATCAATGAGAACCGGCCCCTCGTAGTCGTGGCCCCAGCTGATAATCACACCATTCGCTGGGAATGGAAGCGATTCGCAGACGTGGAATAGTCTGGACAGTGGCACTTCTTCTGGATGAAAAGCCTTCTGCAAGAGGTCCCAGCAAGCTTCGTGGAAAACAAATCCACGTCGTCCATTAACTTCACCCTGGCTCATTGCGCCAAATTGGTCGTCCTCGGGACTATCATAGCCGGAGTCATCCCATCGACTGTTAGGGTCGACAGGGGCAATGAAGGCGCCACTTCCCGGATCATCGTATAAGCCAACACCCGTAAGAATAATTCCTTGTGGGCTGTTCGAGACTTGAGTAAAGTCAGCCTCCCACCGAGCAAGAAATACCAACGCACTCACGACCATGAAACTGATTCAACCAGGATACGTTGCCATGTGCATCGACGATGGCCCAGCCACAGAGAGTGCACAAGCATATGCGGGGGCTCATGTTTGATGCGGACAAGATTGTGGAGAAATTGAGCACACGCATTTTCATATTAGATATTTGAACACTGAACCGCCAACGCGGAAAAATGCATTTCCGTCGCTTAATTGGTCGTAAAGACTTGGGTAGGTACGCAGATTATATCGCATGTGCTGCTTTGCATCGTTTTAGAATGAGCCTCCCAAGGGCATATGAATGCCGGCAGAACCCTGACTTATGATAGACGGCGACACCGTTGCATTTGGATTGAGGTCACGAATCCAATAGACAGACCCGTGATGCACTATGCTGGGCCTCAACTTGGAGTTAAAAATCGTAAACCCCGCCCGAAAGATGGAAAACGAATACCAGTGGCCAAGCACACATGAACGCATTGAGGAACTATGGAAGACTAAATGAAACACCTTACTTGTTGTACTAAAGCAAATGCTATCATCATTTGATACCCACAAGTCCCGTACAGCAAGCAGACCCAACCATTCCATGCCAATTCCTTCATGTTTCTAAAACCTTGAGCCTTTGAGGCATGACTATTTTATTTACTTCTTTGAACTAAAACTTGCTATAGATGGGCGGTTGCCTTGTGGTACCCGTTCGCGCGGGTGTAATTCCTTAGTGCCAAACACAACTGGAATCACAGCTAGATCGAGGACAAAGACGAAACGAGCTGAGGATGGTGATGGCACTTAAAAGGCTACAGCCGAATACGACAGAACAATACGAGCGAGTCAATAGATGAACTCTATGGTCGCCTGTCGGTGCAGTGGCACTAGTCTTCGCGTACCCGCTTGTGAGTTGCCTTGTCGTCGCCGTCGATGGCCCTCTTACGCGGGACCTCGACAACCATCGCGAAGTAGGAATAGATCTGCCCCGAGGACGGCTCATTTCCATACTGGAGGTGTCAGTATAAAGTCAATATCACACAGTGACTTGAGCAACTTACCGCAACGTAAGACACTTGGAGTCTGGACTCGCCGTTGTTCTTATTCAACCACACAATCTTTTCCTTGTCCCATCCTGAGCCTATTGTGCATTCAATAAGCTCCTGGACCGTTGTCCTCCCCTCGTCATCTACCGTGCAATCGCTGGCATAAAGTCTAGCGATATGTCCGACGACTCTCTCGGGATCATAATAATCGTCTTCCTCGCTGCTGTGATCAGACTCGGTCTCACTACGGCTGTCAGTGACGGTATCAACATCTTCGCCATCTGAAAACTCCCCGTCATCCAAGTCAAAAGCCTCGGTTCTCTCATCATGCCTGACAGCGAGCTCTCCGCCCTCGTGGTTCATAGGAAGACACACGACAAGTGAGCCTATCTGGTAGCTCGAACGAGGGGTATCGACGTGTGCTTTGAACTTGCCCGATGGTCCCGAGTAGATCTTTGATTGGGTTAGTCAGGTACTTCGAGGTCTGCCCTGGCTACCGTGTACTCACATTCATATTATACAACTCAGCGCGGATAGACCGCGAGTCTTCGGCCGTCTGTATACTAGGGAGAAGGACCTGGCTAACAACATCGACGATGCCTGTCTCGTACGGGGAGAATGTAGTACAGAAATCATCAGCACCAAGCTTCTGCGCCTTACGATAAGTCTCATCGAATTCATGTCGCCCATTCAAACCGAACGTGGCCTTTTCAGAAACTTTGAGCAGATGATCGAATCCCCTGGCATCAACATCTGAGGTGATTGGGAAAGAGACGCGATTGGGACCGGGATGATCCGACGGATTGTCCCATCGAAGTACGACAGGGGCAGACGGCACCTTGACCTTGTCCTCGTTCTTTTCGGCTTGAGGCTGCTCGATAGGAATCTCGCCGCCGATGGCGAACGTGCCAACGGCCAGGTCCTTTGTGGCAGAGATGGCAGCAGAAACCTGCTGGGCGAGCGCCCGAAGAGTAACCGCGGAAGACATTCTGAAATTGGGTGACCTAAAGCCTTTCCAGCGTCAGCGCAGCTCTAATCTGAGCAGTTTCTGTCTTCATCGAAGGCCACCGTCGGGATTCAGAGGCAACGTCGATAAAGCCAACGACGAGAATGACGATAAGGACAACTAGTACAACGACAGTCAATAACAATGACGGGGTAATACTGACAGGAAACGCAGTGAGCATATGAGTGAGTCCTCGGAAAACAGAGTCGCTCTAGTACATTCAACTGTGTACTGCTGTGGGGTTGGAAATGTGGATAGCTTTGAGCTGAAGTTGGATGAGATTGAGATGAAAGAATCAGAACGAGGTTTGGAAGAGTTGGGCCTCGAGAGGCGATTTAAATATCCATGGATGGGTGAAAAGTCGATCTCCGATGGCCTTCCATGTATGGCCTATGAATCTGAAGGAATGGTGCAGAAACACAATGGTTAGCCAGCTAGCTCCTTACCACAAGGTGATGTTTGGGGTTCAGCGCTGGCGCTGATTGGCTTCGGGTACCGAACCCTAAATACGAACCCCCTTTTTCAAAGGTTTTAACCAGGCTGGCTCTGCTGGTCGTACATCTTGAGAGTCTCAGAAGATTTAGGCAGCAGGTGAAAAGACCATGATACGTCTCGGCGTGCAACCCCTTGGTAGCGCACCACGCACTACAGGAGCAGAGCTACAACACCCTTCACACAAGGTCACTTCCGTGCAGATTACATTTGCCCATAACTAGGTAAGTTGGTCAACCTTTCTGTACATGAGTGTTTCCGAGTCAATATACATGTGTGAAAGTTTGGATGGAAATTGGACCAGCGCACTTTAAAGCAAAACATTCATCCAGGTACCGACATTTATGACATGCAAGAGTGACAAAAGGTTACACCGTGCATGGCAAAATGCAATCGGAATTAGTGCGAATCACCATTAATGTCTGTATCTGTCCCAAAGCTCCAGAATTCTTTCCTGTTAGATCCGGAAGAGAAAGGTCCACCTAAACCCATCAACAATATTTTATGTGAACTTTCTGACTCAAGAGTCCTCCACACCCTTAACCACCACGGGGAAGCTGCCTTCAGAGACAGTCTGGTCTTCGTTCCAGAACAAAAGGTAGATATCTTGGGTGTCGGTTGGCTTGGCCCAGAACTGAGCCTGAAGCTCCGAGTTGTTGTTGTAGACAAGCTGGGTAGCGAACAATGCCCAACCGTAGGTGCTTTGGTTGACGCTAACCACAGGAACCTCAGAGGTCAGACCCATGGCACGGTCCTCGCTGTCGGTGATAGTGAGGTATCCAGCAGAAGTGCCGTTGACGAAAGTTCCGTTGACCTTCCAGTTCTGGCCGGTGATGGAAGGGAGGTTCCAAAGCATGGGCTCAAGGTTGGCGGACGAGTTGTCGGGAGTTTGAGTGATGTAAAGGTATCCTGGAAATCGGCTGTTAGCAATGGAACCGTGCAACACTAGATGACTATGCGCGTGCAGTGCTTACCATCATCAATTCCATAGGCGATAGGCCACGACGAAGAGTTAGTGCCGTACGCAACCAAGGTGGCATTAGTCTCAGCCTTTCTCTTCTCAATAGTGGAGGAAATGGCAGCGGCACAGGTGAGACCGGCCTGCAACAGGCCAAAGACTGCGGTCTTGGAAAGATACATCGTGATTATTGGTGCGCGATAACGACTGAATGAACGACTGGAAAGCAATGGCAAACGAGGGTAATGGCCGTTGACCGAAATAAACCGAGTCCATCCAGTCCGGATGCAGAGCCATTACATACCTTAACTTAAGTCTATCCAACAAAACTCACTTGCATGTAAAAACAAGCGTCGGTAATCAACCCACAAAGCCTATCAACCCTACTGAATCCCCCACAATACGATGTTACCAACCTTGGTGGATTCGACGCTAAAATTCCAGATGAGGGGCAGTTGCGAGCAAGATGGAGCTTCTCGTGCGATTTAGCCTATAGCACAGGCCCGAAAACGCGGGAGAAGCCGTTGGAAGGTCTTTTTAAGGAAACATCTTGCATTTGAATCCTTGGTTAGAGTGCTAAATCCTGGACGAATGGAGTTGTCCTTGAATAATTGGAGCCGTCTTCGGACTACCTCCACTTTCGGGGCTGGCGATAGTGCAGTGCTATGCTTCGTGTCGATCGTCCCAAGTTTAAAGTACGCGCAACCCCCTTTCGTCATGAACCTCCGTGGATGCAACACCGATAACCCCTGCAAGTGTGCTTGTCAACGCACTCTAATCCCTAAGCCCCCGGGTTGCTTGAGGCTTAAACCTACGCCAAGGTCGACAAGCTTCCTGCCGTTAGCCGTTGTCCAGCTTAATTTTGCCGTTCTAGACTAACAATGGCAAGGCATTGTTTCTAAGCGGGACCTGTAAGATTAGATCGCTATGTGTTCGGGCGCAAAACACTGCTGTGAACAGGGATTTTCCCGCTCCCGATGGCTTTAAAGCAACCGAATCAATCAGCCTCATGATCTTTCCACCACATTCCGTTTGATAGACAGGGAAACTCACCGCGATGTTGTGGGATGCTGTGGGAGAAGAAAGGGTTTCCGGCGGAAGTTGCCGTCATTAGTTATCGCAGAGTGCGGTTCCCATTACATCACGAGGTGGAATGAAATCGGGTTGCCCGTGAGATGCATTTACTTATCAACCGTTGATGCGCCCTTTCCTGTGTTTGCTGTTGCTTACTTCGGCACGCTTTGTCATTCGTTTTTGGCTTCATGCCATTAGTCTGTCTTTAACTTTGTTTCTTACTTCCAACCGTTTGTAGTCCATAATGGTTTCCGCCAAAACATTCGCTACCTGGGCAGTTGCCGCCATCGCTGGCGTTGCCGCTGCCCCTTCTGAGCTTCACCATGTCGCCCGTCGCGACTGTGGAAGCAAAGGAAACTCAGTGTCTCAAGCCGAGACTGCCCCTGTTGCCGCAACCTCTCCCCAGACCTCTACCGACGGCCAGACTACCAATGGAGGTCAAGCCACTACCGGTGGCCAAACTACAACCGGGGGTCAAACCTCAACCGGCAGTGAGACTACCACCGGTGGTCAGACCTCTACCAGCGGCGCGGCCTCATCTGGCGATGACAGCACCTGTGTCAATAGCCCTACTAGTCGCCAGTGCTGGCTTCCTGGTTACGATCTGACGACCAACTACTACGAGAATGTTCCCGACACGGGTGTTGTCAGAGAGTACTGGTTCAACATTGAAAACACCACTGCTTCCCCTGACGGCTACGAGATGCCCGTGCAGTTGATCAACGGATCCTTCCCCGGACCCACCATCATCGCCGACTGGGGTGACACCGTCAGTAAGTAGTAACTCATAGCAAAGAACTTGCATCTTACGGAGGCTAATGACATCCGCGTAAAGTTGTTCACCTGACAAACTCCCTCCAAACCAACGGAACTGGTCTTCACTTCCACGGCATTCGTCAGAACTACACCGACCAGATGGATGGCGTTCCCAGCATCACCCAATGCCCCATCGCCCCCGGAGACACCTACACCTACAAGTGGCGCGCTGTTGAGTATGGCACCGGCTGGTACCACTCTCACTTCTACGTTCAGGCTTGGGACGGCGTCTTCGGCGGTATCACTATCAACGGCCCCGCCACTGCTAACTATGATGTCGATCTCGGCCATCTCTTCCTGAACGACTGGTACCACGTAAGTGACTGATGGCTCCAAACTCCATTCAAGGGCATGGACTAACCGATCTCAGCAAACTGCTGATGAGCTCGTTTCTCACGCTGCCACCGGTGGCCCGCCGACTGCGGTCAACGGTCTCATCAACGGAACCAACACCTACAACGACACCATGGGATCCCGCTTCGAGACTGTCTTCGAGGCTGGCAAGAAGTATCGCCTGCGTCTTGTCAACGCCGCTGCTGACAACCACTTCCGATTCATGATTGACAACCACACCATGGAGGTCATTGCCAACGACTTCGTCCCCATTGTCCCCTACAACGCCACCCAGCTCAGCATCGGCATGGGTCAGCGTTACGACATCATTGTCGAGGGCAAGGACCTGACCGACGGCGACTTCTGGATCCGCGCTATTGCTCAGGAGGCCTGCTCCGAGTCTGATGCTGTCGACGATGTCAAGGGTATCGTCCGCTACTCCAACTCCTCCACCTCCGAGCCCACCACCTCTGCCTACAGCTACGACGACTCTTGCGCTGACGAGCTGTCCTCCAACCTCATTCCCCACCTCGCTATCAACGTTTCTTCCGAGTACATCTCAACCGATGAGAACGTCGGTGTCATGGTTCAAGACAACGCCCTCCTCTGGACCATGAACAAGACTTCCATGCACACCCAGTGGGAGTACCCCACCGCTCTCCAGCTCTCCCAGAAGAACGAGACTTGGTTGTCCAAGCAGAACGCCATCCGCTTCCCTCAGGTCAACGAGTGGGTCTACATGGTCATCCACTCTCCCTTCGCGCAGGATCACCCCATGCATCTTCACGGCCATGACTTCTGGCTCCTGGACGCTGGCTACGGTAACTTCGACCTCGATCAGACCGACCGTCTGACTCTTGTCAACGCCCCGAGAAGAGACGTCGCCATGCTGCCTGCTAGTGGTTACATGGTCATTGCTTTCCCTACCAACAACCCTGGTGTAAGTCATTCCGTGCACTTTACTTGCCGAGTTTCTTGCTAATTATGTCTCCTAGGCTTGGTTGTGTCATTGCCACATCGCCTGGCACACGTCCGAGGGCTTCGCTGTGCAAATTATTGAGCGCGAGTCCGAGATTGAGTACGACAGTGACGCGCTTAACAAGACCTGCACCAACTGGTCCAACTACGTTGCCAGCGTTGACCTGATCCAGTACGACTCTGGTGTTTAGAGATCTCAGCTATAATGGTAATCACGGGGGTCGAATCGGTGTGATAATTCAAGTACATAAGTTGCAAAGGAAAGCGGAATTTCCGGAGCCAATGGCATGTCATTCTTTACCTTGCAAATGCGTTCATAGTGCTTGGTGACGCTCACTGATGTGACACCTCGGCCTGCGATGACTGTGAATGTGCAGAACTCTTCTCATTTCTGCCCTGGTTCTAACACATTGATCAAACCATGCTGAGGTATCATTGACACGAGATTTCCGGGCTGCATGTGCCGTCATATGCATCAAAGCATTCACAATGGACTTTTTGTACGCGACGTCTCATTCGGAACTCCCCGGTATGCTACTACAATATTTCATGATCGTGGGATGAGGTGTTTCCGAAAAGAAAATGATTTCAATGAGCTGGATTGCGCCTAACTGTACCAGGCAATTAGAACTTAAGCATCTTCCTTTCCCAAGGAAGTTATCTCATAGGGTGTAAGTAACTGCCAGTCGCTACGTCATGGTCATTATGACCTATGAGTTTTCTCCCTAGACGTTTCGTAGCCCATCTAGGAAGTGTCTGGGTGTGCCGAAGATACGACAAAGCCATCACACTATGCTCATGAAACAAGAGGCAAGAGGTTTTGCAGAACCAGTCAAGAAAGAACGCATCTACCGCAGAACTCGACAAGCATTTCGGCGTTTCTGTGGACTTTCGGGTTCCATGTGGAGAGCCCGTAACACCGGGAGCAACTTGGACTTGTTCGTAGGATGTGGGCGCCGTGCAATGTCACGGCCGGCCCTTGAGTTCGGGAATGAGGGGGAATGGCTGCACTAGCCCTTAGGGTCTCTCGGTCCATATGACGCGTCGTGATGCAAAGACCTATTTTTACCTGCGTATCAGAGATAGGCTATGCCGCCATTGTACAGGAGAAAGATCATCCCTAGCATTCGGGAAAAGAGAGATTATATCCATTCTGTTATCTGATGATGGCCTGTAATTTGGCCAAAACGACAAGAATGAATCGATGCATTCAGTGATAGTCAGCATGCGTATCTGGTGTCGATTATTACGCCAACATATCTATTTCGGACTTTCGTAGACTTACAACCCCCGGATACAGTCAATGGGTTTCCGGCAATCTGAACAACGGCCTGCGGTCAACGCCACATTTTAAAATTGCCGAGGTAAAGCAGCGATCTAATTGACTTTTTGATAACTCTGACGGATTGTATGTTAATAAATAGTGAAGGGAATTCTCGTGTCGACGTGGCCGAGAGCGTGTGTGAGTGAGACAACTACGTAGCACGTCTCGTGAATCCTTATCAGAGGAGATTCTAAGAAGTTAATGTGACCAAAGTCCTCTATCCCATCGTTTCAAAAGCTTTGTCGACTGCCATATTTCCGATTCCCCTTTATGTGTTGCCTAACAGATATCAACTTGATCTCGGTCGCGGGGTAAATCATCCGACAACTCAGATTGGCTAGCACTCCTACTGCGTATAAAGATTAATCGTTGATTGATAGCCTTTCTTGCAACATCTCGCAGCTCTTGGATGCCGCTGAAAGTTCGTCTTCTATCACCATGATTCAACCCAATCTTCGGACCGCGATCGTATTGGACTTGCCGCCTTGAACTCTGAAAAGACCCCGCATCTGGTACTTCAAAAGACAATACTTCAGCAAACTTTTGAACACCAAGCCGATCGTCCCGCTTGACTCCGATTACCGTGGAAGACTCGTCCAGATACTGCTGCATGCAGATGGGCCAACCAAAGCTTCACATTTCAGAGCCTGATACTTC